GGTTCTGTAAACTGTTTAGTGGTGCTTGCCCCTTCCAACATAAATTGACGTGTTTTTGGATTTTTCCTAAATACCAGTATTACAAAAGTTATTAAAGGTGGATACTTTTATCTGAAAAGCACTGTATATTACTTCATATCAGGTGAAACTGGAACAACTGGCATAGAACAAATCCAAAACAAGCTGCATTCCCTATCACCAAAAATGCAATACTCTTCTTTCAACAAGCAAGCTGTCGTATTCTGGAGATGAAGACGTCATTTCTGGTGTTTGTGAAAAAAGCTTGTTTTGGATAAATTTCACTCCCTTCAAGAGAGAATGTTATCAATAGGACCCGTGTCAATCAAAACTGCACTATTTTTACATACAGTGTGTAAAAGCCGAATGGAATAAATTCATTATTCAGGTTACGTTACATATTTTAACAAAATCCCAAAACACATCAAATTCAAACTTAAATTTGACATTCTTCAACGGAAAAATACTACCTCTACCTTCATCCCCCGTCGAATGGCAGGTACAAACCCCAATTTTTCAAATGAGAAGTATAAGCTTGTGATATATCGTTTGAAATGTATCTTCATTTTCCATTCAAAAAAGTTATAGCTTTCAAGTTCATTGCAACAATTAGGATAAAATAAATTAAAATCATGAGGTTACCTGGATTCTTTTAAATACACTCAAAACTTATTGCAATATTTTAAAAATTTATTTCATGTTGAGGTATCGGNTTGTTCATGATTACGCCAAGATTTTTAGCACTGTCTACCCAGTCAATGTCTGCGTTATCGAGAGTGAGCCTAAAGTTACACTGAGTTTCTACTATTTGTCTTTGAGACCCTATGCATGAAGCCAAAATTTTATTTGGATTGATTTTCAGTCCATGATTCTCCGAGTATAGGAATGTTTTGTGCAAATCTGTGTTTATATTGGCCACGCAACTTTCTGTATTGATGTTATGAGGAGACAAATATAACTGTATATCATCTGCGTATAGATATACTTGACAATGTGATAAGAAAGTTTAATGGAAACTGCGTGTTTTATACACAAACATAGGTCAAAATTTGAATATATTTCTTCGTGTCATAGCACTCGCCTGAAATCTAAAAATAATTTTAAATTACCATTGCCTTCTTCATCCCTAGTAAAGGACTCCATTTTCTATAACGGTGTTGAAATGTATAATCACTTACCGTCTCATTTTAGAAATAGCTACGATAGTATTGACAGCTTCAGAAATACACAAAAAAACTTCTCGCGAGCAGACCCTATTATAGTTTGCAAGAATTTTACAATGACAACTTCCAGTGAAATTGTAATTTATTGCGGGTACTCTATAGCATACTCGATTAGACTATTAAATTATAAGTCGTAAAAGTGACAAAATGTTCAAATAACATTTCATGATTGATATTTTATTTATTCTTCAACAGTTATTCTATTGAAAAAATGTATAATTGATAAATCTATATGTTTATATACTGCTTGTTTATATATCAATTTTATTCTTATTTTCATTCTATTTTATTTATATTTTTCATAATTGTGTGTATTTTGCCTGATTTTTTTTCTGTACGTGTAGATTCTAGTTTGTCAAAAAAATAAGAGTTTTTTCGACAATAATGTATATTTTGATTGATTGATTGATGGTAATCAAAAATAATCATTGAAAACATCAAGGGTCCTAAATTACTTCCCTGCGGTACACCTGAGATTGTTTCTTCTAGGGATGACCATGAGCAATCATCCAGTTTTACCCTCTGTTATCGCCTATGAGATAGCTGGTCCTGAATTTAAGAGAAATATCATCGAATCCTATGAACTTGAGCTTGCTGATGAGTAAATCGAAATCAACTAAATCGAAAGCTTTACTTTGATCAAGCAGTACTGAAATAGTGACTTTTGATTGATCTCTAAATATCGCAAGATCGTCGATTACTTTCAAGAGGGCAGTCTGTGTTCCGTGTTTTTTGCGAAACCCAGACTGCTCGTACGGGAGTATTCGATTTTTTTCAAGAAAAGGTCTTATTTGACGGGAAACATTTTTCTCGGACATTTCAGAGAATGAGGGCAGAATGCTGATAGGGCGTAGGTCACTGAACGTGGTAGGTGCGTTCTTTTTCGGAATTGGAATTATATTAGCAACCTTCCAAACATCTGGAAAAATACCCTGTCTGAAGGACTCGTTGAAAATATGTTTAACTTCATCAATACAGTGTGGTATCACCAAAGAAATCATCTTGATATTTATATTGTCAATAACTAAAGCATTAGATTTTATTTCTTTGATAGCAGTCAAAATATCATCATCACATATATCGGTGAGGGAAAAGTTCATAGGAGCGTTCAATTTATTATTTTATTTCTGACTGGGATATTATAAGCTTATATCGTCATAGTTACGCTATCAATAAAGAGGGTCATAACTCCCTTGGGACATTTTTCCGTTTCAAAAATGAACAAAATTTTATTGAAATCGGTCAGAAATGAAATTATCTATGTACCACGGGAATTAATGAGCCTTAATAACCTCAGGCAATTGCTGTCCCTCGGGCCAGAGGCCCTCGGGACGCAAACTTTGCCATCGGTAATTAAGGCCCTCCTAATTCCCTTGATACATAAATAGCTAATTATAGAATGAAATATTGTCATTATTTACTATTGAATGTCCAGCCACGTTGATAAAATAGTCATAGATTTCTTCAGGTCTACGTATACGATAGTATCCTTTAAAAAACTGTGAAGAATTTTCGTGGCAACGTTACTTCAAAACGCCTTGTCAACTAGTTTTGTATGTCAAAACATTAGTTGTCAGTATTTCAAATTGAGTTTGAAGTTCAATAATTTCAAGTCAAAACAAATGATCAGATTAACGGAAATGCATAAAATAATTTTTTTCAAATGATTGATTACGGAGACAAAACCCCAACACAACAGGAAGTTGCTCGCCTATTTCATGAAAAAATTTCCTAATTTGCCGCCCATATCTCAAGGAACAATAATCAAAATAGAGAAGCAGTTTCGCTAGCTTGGTCATGTGGAGCAGATAAAA